GAATATGAGAAGTGACATCCATAAGAAATATTGCAGAGGTAGCAATATCCTTGACATTTACTGTCCATATGGCATTCCCAGCACTGGGAATGGAAAGTTATTTGTAACAGTTGCAATGGTGATTGTATCAGTACCTGACAAGTTTAGGTTACCCTCTGCACAAACCACCAGAGCATTCTGTTATGACTCCATAGATAAGATTTCAAGTCTTGCTCTGAACCTGGTTTATGACTGCCACCAGCCATCCCAGTTGTAAATGGGCATCTGGTCATTCATGCTGGGGAGTCAAAGGTGTGATTCTAGACCCGTTACTCTGTTATGTGCTGTTGACTATAGATAATGGTGTGCCCTGACCAGTGATTTAATTTGTTTGATGAGCTCTTAGGAGTGGGCAGCCATTTGGCATTGAGATATGGAGAAGGAAAGAGTAGGTTTCTTGAGAAATAAAAGGTTAGAGGTAGGGGAGGTAAAATGGAGTTTAGAAATAAAGAGCTGTCTCAAACTGCTCTTCCCAATCAAAAGGTGCAATTTTTGGACTTTGGTATATTAAGCCTCAGGAAGCTGAGGCAGAACCAAGTATACTATGTCTGGCCAGGCAGAGAATGCGGGTGAGAAACCATTAAAGGTGTCAACGTTGTATTTAGTAGCATAAGCATAACAGTGATGGGTAAGGCAGAGAAAATGAGAAAAGGGAGAGAGAAAAGAGCCAAGATGTTAACATAGTAAGTCATGTCTATGGAAAAGATCTCCTTGAATGGAAAAAGCATTGCCAGAAAGGCTGTATACAAAATGGTTCTGTTGGTAGGAGTGGAAGCTACAGAGATAGAGAGCATGCCCCTGCTAATTGGCTCCAGGACTAGGCAATCTAATCAGAGGCACCAAGAAATAAATACTCCTCCACCCTTTATGTTTCTCCTCCACACTTCATGAAGGCTGCTTGGCTAATGAGGTGAATATGCTATCACTGTAGGTGAAGGGTCAGAAATAAGATGCTCTTAATGAGGTTCCGTTTTGCTATCCCAGCTAGTAAAGGAGTAGGGGTTAGAGCATGTTGAAACTCAGAATTTTCATCCCAATAGTCAAGAAAAGGCTTAATTTTGAATTGGAATTAAATCTAGAAATTTCAGAATTTCTTGTGGAAAAAATTCAGAAATTTTTCATTTTGAAACATTTAATGGCTTCATTCAATTTTCCCCATAGGACGTGGAGCAGATTCCTAGGGCCTCCTTGATCTGCCATAACGCCCAAGGATTCCATTTGGGCAGAATTTTGTTAAAACAGATATATGTCTGCAAACTGTTTTGATGTTGTTGTATTGGCAATTTGCAATGCAAAATATCTTATTGGAAAACTCCCACCAGCTTTCCTGGGGGACTTTTAAGCCACGTCTGTAATGTTGGGGTTTTTGTTAAGTGTTTTATTTTAATGTTAAGTGGGCTCGTCTGTCCACTAGGCTTTTCCTCTTTGAAATAACAACAAAGCCAGACATTTTCAGTGTAGAATACTGGTCTCTTGCACTCTCGCTTTAAATCCAGTCTAAAACAAATTATTTTTCTCTAATTCTCTATTCTTTTGCCTAATTTAGCTTTTTAAGAAGCATTTGACAAGCAGGCAGCACAAATCCACCTCTTGCTCATGGAAAGTATTGTCTGCAGGCTTCCTTTCCTGCCATGCACGGTGACCAGCTCTGAACTCTCACTCAAACGGTAGCTTGATTGACAGTACCAGAAAAAAATCTATATAACTAAATAAAACATTTGAGAAGAAATACGCATTGTTTTAGACACCTGAGAGTGGAAAAAATGTAAAACAGTCCAAATTTATGAAGGGTCACTGGGGGCAAGCAGCAGGTTTGCATACACACCTATATAACTTAGCAGCTCTCGCATGAAACTCTGAATTATAAATATAATATACAGAGAATGAACTGTACGCAACTGCATAAAATAAGACCATTTCTAATCTAGGGTTTCTGATGACAACAGCTACTCTAGTGGCTTGTTCATATCATTAGAACTCAAAGAAAAAATGCAGCCTTGTAATATACACTTTAGGTGTATTTTATTATTTCAGAATAATTGGATAGTATGACAACTAATGGAAATTTACATTATACAGATATCTAGTTAAATTTCACACATTGTTCAGTCATTTACATCCCCTACTAGCTGGTTCAACACGTTTTTGATTTGCTACAAAATATATACCTGACATATTCTTATAAAAAATTAAGTATCTGGGTAATTCTGAAGATATTTTTGCAGGAAAATAATTAGTAATAGTCTGTGGACATTCTGTTTGCTTTAAAGTTGGTGGGAATTTTGCTATCATTGGGGACTAAATTTGGTCTTCTGATTCAGCGAAGCAGTAAAATATGATTTTGTAGGCTCTGAGCCGCTAAACACTAATGTACATGGTTAAATTCTTAATTTCATATACGCTAGTTCCCCCATCCCAGTGGTAAGCACACATGCAAGTGTTTGCAGGACTGACCTTTAGTTGTCATAAATCTCATTTTGCAAAAATGAATTATTGAATTTTGGGAACTTCCTGAATGGTTTGCTTTGCAGCCTTGAGGAGAAAGATTCAGGCTGGTTTTCCCTTGCTCTAAATCAGTTTGCTTCTGTTTCCAGCACCTGCATTTTCCTTTAACAAATATTTTCAACAGGTTTTATAATTAGGGGATGATAATGTGTTGTACTGTTACAACATCTCTTATCACTGGGTCTTAAAGTGCCTCAGAAATGCTTACTTGTTGAGGCTCCCAACAATCCTGTTTAGCTGCTTTTATATTTTTATTCCCATTTTAGAGATGGTCAAACTAAGAGACAAACAGAATATGTGTCTTGTCCAAGCAGCCACATCAGGAGTAGAACCAAGACCTACTGATTGTCATTCCTGGACTCCTTGATGCACTTAATTGTGCTCCCTTCAGAAGCATCTCCTTCATTATCATTAATAGATGAGAAGAGGCTAGCTGCACCTTGGACTCAGCCAGCCATGCCTCATTGGCAAAATATTTCAGTATGTAGTCTACTTTATTGATTTAAATGAGATGTAAATTCATGCTTACAATGAACTTCTTTGTTAAATCAGAACCTATCCAAGCATTTGAGATGAAACCAGTACATGAAGGGGAGATTTCCTCCCCCCACACATCCTAAAAGAAACCTGATAAAATAATGTGCATTTTGTTGACAAATAATGGCAACGTAGGCTAATGAACATCTTCAAAATGGTCATTTACATATCCATTTGTCCCTTAAGTCATAGAAGGGAATACAGATCTTCTGCCTGTGTCTATTTAAAAAAAAAAAAAAGAGGGAGGAAAAAAGCCCCTCCTGCCATTTCCTCCCCCCTTTCCCATTCTTAGAGTAAGTAGTTGTATTTTATGGTTATATGTAGAAGGTATTTTTGATTTTCTATTTTCTAGCCATTAGATTCTTAAGAAATAAAAGTCTAATTGGGAGTCCAGTATGGTGCATACATTTTACTTTATCACACAAATGTTTTATTATATTATGTGTGAGTTTATAGAGAAAATGATCTATGCATGTACAAACTTAATTTACATTCCTAATGGACCTGCTACAAATTGACCTAGCTAGCCCTAGAATCAATGCATATCATTACATCGAGTGTAAATTTTGGGTACTACAGTATGACCCTGTTGTGACCTACACAGCTACTCTACTTTAAAAAAAAATAAATGAAAGCACAACAGAAAACCAGAAAAAGAAATAGATGCAGTAGGCTTTTTTCCCTGAAAATATTTTAACTTAACTTATGACAATATCATTAGAGCACTTGATCACTGTTAAAATTAACAGATGGCTGTTGTACCAGAAGGGAATATTTCAAACAAATAATTCCACTTAAAATATTTTAAAAAACCCACATTTTGTGGTTTATGCTATTGGAAGTTATGGTGGCATGTTTGATTAATGAGCTGTTTTATTGGTGATGCAAATAATGTGTAATGTCATAAGACCCATATGTTGTAGATTACAGAGGTATTAAACTTACCTTGGCACAAAGTGAAAAATCTAAAGTATCCCTCTGGTAAAATATATCATTTCTGGGGAAAAAAAGACATATTGGCATTGCCTGTATTTATGCTTTTGATAAATTACATGTCATGTTTATTTAATTTCAGTACCCAATCAAAACCAATTTTTTTTCTTTTGCTACTCTTTATCATGTTTTTCTGCATTTACCCATTGTGTTTGTGGCAATCACTCAGCAGTTCCTATACCAAAACTGACTGTGGCAGCAGATTGAAATATGCCTGACAGTTGTGAATAAAGATTTTATGAAGCAGGACAAAATTGCCTAATCTTCATAACATAAACTAAAATCAATATTGAGCTTATCAAAAGTGGTACAAACTGCACTGGAATTTGGAAGGCAGATGTATATAGCAAGAACTGTGAGAAACATTGCAAGCACAACACCAGACCATGCAAACAAAATTTGCCTAGTTTCAGGTTTCACCGGAAACTTGAACCTCAAGCCAGTCTACCAAAGATGAGACCCAGGACAGTTTTTTTTTAATTTTTAATTTTTTTTAAAGACTTCACAGTATTATGATTTGGCTTATGATTTTATGTGAAAATAATGTGCAATGCAGTGATCAAAACCAAGCAGGGGTTGGGATGCATTTTACTTTGATATTTTGGGGTTTCTGGAACTGAAAATTAGAATGAAATTTAGATAGCTAGAATTTTTCACAAATTTCAGTTAAATCAAACTACCCCAGTTTATGTCACTACCCAGGCATAACTGTAATATTTCAAATGAATTCTTAAGTATTGCAGTTTTTTTTGTAATGCCAAAAATGGCCATTTCTCCTGATGAGGGAAATTCTAAATTAGAGCCATGCCTCAATGGAAAACAATTCCCTCCTTTTCAAATTTCATTTCTTCCTGCCAGTGTTTGAGCTTGATACTGCATCTTTTACTTTTCCATGGACATCAGTTGATCTTGGTTACCTGGAAAACCACCTACCTCAGTGTAGCCGTGACCACCCACGACAGCTGTTCTGCTAGAGCACTAGAGCTGTCAGTCACAAAGGCAAAATGCCCAAAACTGAGGGAGAGCTGTACTTGACAGCCCTCTCATGAGTACAGAATTTGCTCCTAGATACCCTATCAACTACTTCAGGTGAAAAAAACCCTACTTCCTCCCCATCCCAAACAAACGGACGATACGCCTATGTGAGGAGAAAATGAGAGAAACTGAAAATGTATAACGTATCCGGTAAACATTTTGGTAAACTTGGAAGATTCTCAGCTACCATGATGATCAGTGAGGTAGATCAGAAAGACAATTTATGGTATCTGAGATAAATGTGAACCTTATAAAGCTTCAGAGAACAGAGTGTTACAGTACTTGCAGTAGTAAAATGAAGCATGTGTATAAATTTGCATGGTATGAGGAACCTGTTTACAAAGAGAGAATTTTAACATTAGAGCAAGAATAAGCAGTAAGAGAAGGTGCTCTTCAAACAAAGATCCTGTTTTTACACACATATACTTAGAAATAAGGAAAGAGAAATACTGAGAATGTGTTTTATGGAAAGTAGAACTTTCTCCCTGGAATGGCTTTCATCTCTTTCCTGAAGGAGCCAGCAGCTTGCTAGCAGCAGGATTGGTTTTCCTATCTTGTTGCATTGTGACAGCTAAAAAACAGTCCTCATAACTAATATAACCTCCATACATTACTGGGTGATCATGTCTGAAGAACAGACATTGACAGATTTGAAATAATTATGTAAATTTAGCTGGGTTCCTATTTAAATATCCATTTTTCAGATGTACAATAGAAAAGTCCCAGCAAGCCCTTCATGATTGCTGAGGAAGCAATACCTACAAGTCTGCATTAAACGTAACACAATATGCCATAAAAAGCTCATTACACATCCAAGCTGTCTTTGTATCAGCATTAAGCGCACTTCCATACACATTCTGTAAATTACACACTTATAAATTACTCATTTATAACAGCTGCAGGATGACGGCTACAGTGTGAATTGTATTTTTTTTTCCTTGACTGTGCCAGCAGCATGCCTTACTCAATGCAGTTTTTGCTTTTCTGAGCACCTGATGACCCTGAACTTACTGCTGATGGGAGGGAAAAATAGTCTTAAAAATGAGATGTTGGGAAGCATTCCTGTACCCTTTTTTGCATGATTAACCCTAAGATAGTCAGATGGGTCTGAAATTGGAAATTTTACAACAGCAAATGATATCAGGTGTACATTTTACCAGCTTTGCCTGGCTGCACCATATAGCATTGGGTGGTTTTAGATGAGCTTACAATGTAACTCCCCGTATTCCTGCTGCATCGCTGTGAGGGGCTGGAAGCACTGCATTGGTAGTTGTTAGATTTTCCAGTACTCTTAAGAACACAAACAAATCAAATGCTTTGGAAACTTTGGGACTGGGGTTTCTTGATCATCAGTTCAACAAGATACAGAAAATTCAGGGGGCTGTTGTTTGAACTTAACCAGATACAATCAGACATATTATTCCCCAGGGTGTAAGACTTTAGAAAGTTTTGAGTACCTGAACTATAGCTAAGTAGTTTTTCCAATGTTACTTATCTATTTAGTGCTGTAAATAGACACAGAGCCTGCTCCCATGTCATCAAAGTCAATGAGAACTTTGCTAGAGACTTTAGTGGGTTCAGCTGGTGTACGATACATAAAATGGGCTGCTACTTGAAAGAGTACCTCACAGTTAAAAGGCACAAGAGAATATAGTGGCAAACAAGTGAAAAAGAAGAAAACACAAAGGCTTTGCCCCCCTAAATCCATATTATTTCATAGAACAGATGCATCTTTTGAAGATATGTGTAATAGATCAGTGTTAAGGTGCATGGTCCTTATGAGCGTAGCAGCTCACGGGGCTAGCCTGTTTAAAGAACATCAGTTTTTATAGCCAACAGCACAACATGAAACAATGTGGCTAGCATCATGTCTAGCCTCTCATTTTGAATAAATGGGTACTCATTTACAGCTGGATTGACTAGGCACAGTCTGGCACAAGTCCTGAATAGACTGGAACTCATCTCTGGTACCACTGGGAGACCTGTTAACCTCCTTGCCACTGTATCCCAGGTATAGGACTGGAGTTTAATTTGAAGGTTCGATAAATTCATAAGTTTTAAAGACAGAAGAAACTATTATGGCCATATATCCTAGGTCTGGCATGACACAAGCCATAGAATATCACCCATTAATTCCTGCATCAAGGTCATAACTTTTGTCTAAGATATAGCACATCGTTTAGAAAGACACCTGACCTTGACTGGAAGATTCAAGTGATAGAGAACTTACCACATCCCTGAGCAATTTTGGTGCAGTGTTTAATTAGCTCTGCTGTTAAACATTTGTACCCATTTCTAGTATGAATTTATCTAGCTATTTCTAGTATGAATTTATCTAGCTTTATCACTCACCAATGAATGGATGCCATGTAATTTGTTTCCAGCCACTGGATGTTATGCTTTGTATGCAAGATTAAAGAGGAGTCTGCAGTCCTCTCCCCATGTGGGTACTTATAGACTATGAATAAGTCACCTCTGTTGCATTAATTAAATAGATTGAGCTTCTGGAGTTTCACAGTATAAGGCAGATTTTCCAGACCTTCCTTTCTTGTAGCTCTGTTCTGAATTCTTTTGAAGGTCCAGATGAAAAGGTGGTCTTGAAAAGAAACACAAATCTGAGCAAGGGCAAAAGTGCTGAAGTAATAAAGCGGGAAGGCAAGCATGAAGAGGAGAGTGTGTAGATTGAGGTGAATCCAGGGAGGGAGTTGTCAGGGGGTGTAAATGTAAGGGAGCTGTGAAATCAAGGATAAAGAGCCAGCTTAGAGTGCTCACATTTCAGTGAATAGCTGGATAAACGCTGCAGTATTGATTTTATATATGACTGTTTTGGTGCATTTTTAATACAATTGTGTTACATCTCTGTTCATCCCCTCTATGAAATTAACTTCTCATACATTTTTGAAGGTTGGTGGGAGGAATCGTAGAAGCTCCTGATTTTTTAACAGTTCTTACAAATATTCTCAGAAAGCAATTGTCAAATTTACATTTGCAAGTATGTGTCCTGAAAATCAGCTAAAAATTACAGTTTTCCAGCCAGGAAGCAGGATCTTACCTTGAGACTGGTGTGTTCAATCAAAATCATTTAAATTTTGACTTTCACGTAGCAAATAGCCACACAAGCTGATTGGAAATGAGCAGTTGATCAATACTAATAACAACTTAACAAATTGCAAATATCAGTCATTTAGAAAAATTGTGATTTGTTTATGGGCAAAATGATTAATTGAAAAAAATGGTATTGTTCATTCAATACAAAAGCTCAACTATAAGTAGGAATCTACCTAAATCATGGGGAGATAAAGGGATTTTTGCGGGCCACACACAGTGTGTGGAGCTGCTTTTGTGGTCTTTTCACAGTGAGCCCCCACTCACCACTGATTGACTGAGGGGCCCCAGCAGTTCCATCTCTTGATGCTGATTGGCCAAGAGGCAAAAACTGCAGCATAATTAAATAGGAAACGTCACAGAAATATCAAATAAGTTACCTCATTATTATAAATGTAAAAGTTAAATTTAAATCTGAATTGAAAAATATTATGAATGGAAATGTATACACAACATGAATTGTAACTAATATAATCAAAATGTATTACTGGCATTCTGCAAAATTTAGTGATACTAAATAATGTTAACCTTGGCCGAAACAATTCATGTTAGTTGTACAATGCTAGCATGCAGCATCCATTGGCAGTTGCAGCTGACATCGTCTCTCTCTGCAGTGTGAACTCTTGTTCATGCACTGAGATCACGCATTCTGTGTCCACTGAATTGGTTGGAATGGCAAGGCAGCATTTTGTCAAGTTGTAGAGATGTGGAAACTGATCAGAAACAGACTCCCAAAATGGTCATAGTCAAAGGCATCCAGCAGTCTTTGACAAAGTTCATGCAAGCAGCACATTCATTGTCATGCTCTTTCTGCTATCCAGGGATTGATTTTAGTAGCTGAGGGTCAAAACTCAGAAAAAGCACATGATTGGGGTAAAAAATGTGAACTAAAAAGCACTAAAAAAAGAGGCAGCCAGTGGTTTAAACCACAGTGGTAGTGACTGATCATACTTGTAGTACGGATTCAACTTCACAGCTACTTCCTGGAGCTGTTCTAATCTCCACTGGTTTTCACGTTGATAGTTTGAAAGTTGTTGTGATGCGATGTCTTTGTCCCAGCTTAGCAAATCCATCTGCTTGTTGTGTGCAGGATCAAAGCTTGTTGACTTTCAAACAAGGTTAGAAGCTTCATGAACCAGATTGCATTTTATGCCACAAACTTAACTTGATCTTCAATGTCACCCTGTCTTAAGAGCTCACGTCGTTTAAGCATGCACTGTGTGGTAGGTGTGATTTCAGGCTCCTTACATACACATTGCTGGTAGTTCTTCATACTCACTGTGTTAAACCATGAATTCCAACTTGTAAGTGGAAGTGACACAGTCACATGTAGATACCTGCTTTTATTGGTGATGGACTCCCTGTATTAAAGCTTATGGCCTGGACAATGTTTGAACCCTTTTTTTAAAAGGAGGAAACCAGGCTATCCACATTAGGAAAACATGTACACCAGCTTTCACTTACTAAAGAAAGGATATATGCATTGCAGATTAGATGAATTGTGTTGAGAATCATTCCATGGAGCACATCAGAGAAAGCTCTTTGCACACATATAGGTTGCATCCAGATGAGTGTGGTCATGTGGTATGTGATGCTGCAGACATGTCTATGGCACAACATACTGCACATTCAGTTGTTCTCCGTGCTGCAAGGGAGCAGCCTGGAGGGTTTTTTAATCCCTGAATATCCAGGGAGTCAAAAAAAAAAAAGTGGTGGAAAAAAATAGGGTAGTGCACACAAGGATAGTATGTGCTGCCCAAAGCTGGCGCCTGGCTGATGGAGCCACACTCTGTTACCA